ATGAACTTTTCCACGACATTCTAATTAATTGAGATGCACCTGTATGTAAAGGAACAATGTTACATGAACCCAGGTAACCTTGTTTATTGGTCAGCAATATTCCACTGAATGAAACCCTTAGCATTATCCTGGAGTCTTTTGACAGCTCCAGGGCTTTGTTACAACTACAAATTGTACTGTATGTTGTTTAAACGTAAATATTAGAATAGCAACAAATAAATGTACTGATGAAACTCTCAATGCTGATCCATTAATCTAATTTTCTAGCCCATCAACCACATCTCTCTCATTGTCCTAATCGGTCATGCTCTCGGTTGAGCATTAAACATTTGGCACCTAGGCTGGAACAATTCTTAAAAGAAAACTAATCTCCGACTCCTCCAATCAAAATGCAGGTTTGGTTCCTGAGTGCCTCAAAAGAAACTCAGTGCACTGGGAATCTGTCTGAGGTTGAAATGTCTTAACACTACTTGAATATCTCTAGTTTTGTTTTTAACATTTGTATTTCAATTTGTTTTCTTTCTCAGATGCTGTGACAAAAAGCAGCCAAGGCACTTCATGTGAAGTGGAGGCCACCATTAAAGCGTGGCTTCACAATGCAAGAGACAGAGATGAAGGGCCAGAAGTAGTAATGCAGTGAGGGAGATATCTGAGGGGACTGACTCGTAATTTAATTTGACTGGTGTTTGAATTATTCTGTTTGTGTGAGTGTGTTTATTGCTGTTTTAAACTGCTGTTTAATATTGGTTTAAATAAATCTCAATATATTATTATTATTATAAATTTTTGTAAATAAATTATTTGAAAATCATGACCCTCAGTTTATTATTGCTGTTTCTACAAGTGCAATTGTTCTGCATATGCATTAGTAGTATCATAGTATTCTGTATGTGTGGCCCCACAGTATCCCCACACCAGCCCACAGTGTGTGCTTACTGTGGGCCCATAATTAGTCAGCCCACACTTTTGGCTGCATGCAATGTCCCCATATGGGCCCCAAAGCAGCATGTTTGCTGGGTGTGATTACTCGAGTGTGTTAACATATATTATGGATATAACTATATCTACTAAATAAAATGTGTAATTTTCCACAAATTAACCATGGTTTTGCTACACTAACCATAGTTTACCCATGGTATTTGTAGTAAAACATTTATACAAGGGGTTTGTATGTTTCTGTTGTATTTTGTTAATAACTCAATCGATAAACCGCTCAGGCAACTTTATAGTGTTTACAAGAAATGTAAAATGAATCAATTCATCATTGAATGTAACGTCATGTTTCATCTAACATTTCGCTCGTGAATCAGTTTATGATAAACACAAATTAAGTCACTGGCAACTAGTGAAAATCCGAGTCAATTGATTCACTGATTTGAATCACTCGAATCACCGCAGGCTGACAACACCTGCTGCTCAAAACTAAGGAACGCCAATCCTGCCATAATTAGAAATAAATAAATAAATGTACAAATAAATGTAAAAAAGCAAAAATAAATATATAAATAAATATACAAAGAAAAGTAAAAATGCTAAATAAATAATTACTTATAATTTTATTTCCTTATTTATGTATTTTTTCTTTTTTTCACATTTATTTCTTTTTTCTTTTTTTATTTATACATTTATTTATTTCCACTTTTATTTATTTTCACATTTATGTATTTACATATTTATTTATTTTGACTTTTATTTATTTTTTACATTTATTTATTTATACATTTATTTGTCCGTAGGGTAATGAGGAGGGCATGTTTTACCTCAGGAATAGCAATAGAGCCAGATTAGGTGAGGGGTAAGCTTTGAGGCCACAGTGACACCTTGTGGTGCCCAAACGAAGTACAAGAAGTGTAGCATACACCGCATGACGCGCTGTGAGGATAATTAAAGTTTAGGCTATTAGCTTACTCCTTAGTTGAAAATGTTTAAAACGTTTTTTTTTTTTTTTGTAACAGGTCTATTAATTTATACAATGGATTATAGACCTATTATTAAAATTATTAACACTGTATGCCTGTTGATAGTGTGGGATGAATGACTTAAATGGGCAATATGCCCAAAAATCTTATATCACGGGTTATTATTTCAGTTTCACGTGGGGGGTTGTTTGGGCTGGGAAGCGTGCAATCTGTGATCACGTGCATTTGCTGAAGCTCGCGAAAGCGTGCAATCGCTTTCTTATGCGCGCTGTTTTTTTAGGTTTCACTTTCAAGGCATACAACACATGTTTCCAAGATTCGGAATAGGAGGCAGCATCACTGTAGAAGATTCGTCGCCTCGCACCACTTCCCGTGTGGACAGTCACCGCATCAACTGATTATAATGGCTTCTCTTGGTGTAGCTTTAGATACGGATTAATCACACGTCTTAGGCTGGAAATATCCAGAATTAGGTCAAACAAAGGGTGTCCATGGGAACAGAGCTAGTGAAACACACACGCCATGCATTGAACATACAAGCATCATCCAAACAGCGTCTGTCCTGTGCCCTCAGCTTTTTGAGCTAACTGCATTTTTTAAATTTAACTTCCAAAAACAACATTGACAGCATCAGAAACAAACCCGTAAACTGATGTCCAGGGGCATTTTTTAAAAACCGTATTAAATGTATGCATCATGAATATGGAATGCCACGGTCTTAATTCAAATCGATAAATTCAGTTAAAATAATGTTACTAGTAGTTACTACTAGTACACTGTTACTAGTAAAAATCCAATCACTGTCAACAAAAGCCATCATTATTGAATGCATTTACACTGCAATTAGCCTACAAATGCATAAAATGTTATGAAATTAATGTTTAAAATTTTGAAGGCAGAAATATGTCAATATGTCAATCAATTAAATTATACTTTTAATATGAAACTAAAACAGACACTAGGTGGTAAGTCACTGTCTTAACGATTCCTTCAAATAGGTTACGCTGATTACGAAAACACCACTACTTGTTGCACACTCTCTCTCTCACACACACACACACACACTCTCACACACACACACACACACACACACACACACACACAGATCTTACTATCTATATGAGGATTTCTGACACACATATATTCTGACTGTTATTTCAGTGACAGAAGTTCAGCTGCAGTATTAATGTCATGAAGAGACTCTATAACATCTCACTGTTACTGATTATGCAGCTCACGGCTGAGTGAATGTGGTCTGGACTGTGTGGATGAGGCTCATTGTGTCAGAGACGCTGTAGAAGGACAGAGTTCCTGCACTGTGATCCACATACACTCCTATTCTCCTGACCTCATCATCATAAAACACTCCTATTCTCCTGCTGATGGGCTTCACAGGGAGACGAGTCTTTATGTTATTGTGTCTGAATGAGTAACTGGAGGGATGGCAGATCAAACTCCAGGACTGATCATTACGTCCAAACACACACTCAACACGCCGTCCCTTTCTGCTGATGCTCTTATATGACACTGATATAAACACATCTCCACTCCACTCAATCTCCCAGTAACAGCGTCCACACACACTCTCTCTGCACAACACCTGAGGATAAAAATCAAATCTGTCTTTATGATCAGGATACGACTGTTTCTTTTTCACACCTGTCACCTTTCTGTTCTCTTCAGACAGACTGAGTTGAGTGTGTGCTGTGTTTGGATCCAGTGTGAGAAAACAGCCATCTGAACACAAGAACAGAGACATTAATAACAACAGCTGTGTGTGTGTGTGCATTTTATATATGAGTGTTTGTGTGTGTGTGTGTGGACGTACATTTCTTTAGTCCTGCTGTAATCCTGGATTCTCCTCCATGATCCACACTAGAAAACACACAGAGTCACATTCAGTCAGTGAACACAAGTTTTAGTTTGACAGATTTAAAAAATATTAGACAGAAATGAAGTTTAAATGAGTGGTTGCTATGGTACTTGGGGTGGTTGCTATGCTGTTGATAACATGTTC